GAAAAAAACAGACACACAAGGAAGCAGAAAACTGTCACTAACGTCAAACTGCATGCACTGGGTGGCCCACCCAAACACATTTGCTTCTACCCGAGATACTTTGTATTTTTTGTGACACGCGGCTCTTGAAGGCAGATGCTTATTCGCCTGCACTAGCTGCCTTGAGCTTCTTCCCTCTAATAACAAGCAAAGCTACAGTTAAAACCGAAAAAAAAAATATCGTTAAAATACACCATGTCAGCTCTGCTGTTGTAGACCATTAAAGCTTAAGGACAAGATTTTCCTTGCTGTTACACTAAGATTTTAAAAAATGCGTTTCATGTAGCCAGGGATGTTCAGGGATTAAACGTTTTGGTGGAGTCACCCATTCTCCTCCCTCCAGTGTCAGCCACCTTCAAATATATTCCCAACCTGTAGGAATTATGGAGCACACACTCCAATACAACAGTCATCAAGAAATCTGACTGTTGTGGTATTTTCTGATGTTAAGATTTTGATGAGACTGTGATGAATGTTTACATCAGGAAGAGATAAAATGTTCTAAAATCTAATCAACATAAATGACCTTGATTAAATTACATGCAACCACAGTTCACTTTTTATCTAAAAGTACAGCACTGATGGCTGATTGGTTCATTTAACATCTGGTTAGATGTCAGTGGTTGGTGCAGCAGCATCATATTTATGTCCCTGTTTAAGCCTGGACCTTTCTGGCATGGCATTTAAATGCACCATCTGTCTGGTTTTAACTACTGTGCTTGGTAAATCTGTGAAACCAATGACACAGGCCACTTTTTCAAATTAACTGCCACTTTGTAGATGCTGATGCTGGATAAGAAGCCTGTGACTGACACCTTAAGAACAACTACTTCACTGCAGAAAAGGAAAGAAATGAGCAACACCCAGAATGAAAAAAGTGCCTGAATTAAATTACACCAGGTACAGTAGTTTATGTATGCACTCCTTACCAAAACAGATACTGTATCTGACCTGCTTCTTCACAGGATAAATAAAACATGAATGCTGGACCATGATTCAGAGCGATAGTCACAGTAGATGTGGAGGAGAGCAACTCTGGGAAGGACAATGACACTGCTAAAGTCATAATGTGAGCAGGTAGTTGGTACCTTTTCCGTAGCAGTATGCGAAATTCAGAGCTCCGCAAGCTGGTAATGGATACGTAAGGCAGTTCAAACTCCTGCAGCTTCCGCACAACTGAGAGAGAAGGAGAGAGACAGGAGAACAGAGAGTGAGGATAAGTGCAACTGAAGTCTCTACAACATATGGATAATGATGGAAACAACCAACAATGAGGGACGGGAGGACTCCAGCAGGGTAAAACTGTGTCTGTGAGAATTCTAATATGAAGAGAGATCATGTACTGTGTGTGTCCATAATCTGCAGCATGTTCCCCAGGTACAGTGAAAGACCTCAGATGATGATACTGTTGGGTCTTTAGGCATCACAATGTGCACCACACTACATATCTAGTGACTGAAGAGCTGCTTTGTTTTTTTCATGAGGTTTGGGAACGTATGCTGACTCTTCTATGAACAGATGCTGTGGACATGAAGCAGAAGCACATGCCGTTTACTCTGCAGAAACTAGCATGCAGATAAGAGAAGCACTGCTGTGACAGCCCACATACTGGTTCTTCTTAACATGGCTTTTGCATATTTTACAGCATATACCAATTTACACACAGATTTCTGGGAAGCCTGTCAGTAAGGAGCAGAATTCTTCTAGCTATCAGATACTCCCATTTAAACTCTGCCAAGAATATACAACATGCCTGAACTATTTAGAGATTCAAGTTCACCTGGCACCATTTTCAGCCTGGAATGAGTTTGACATGTGGAGTGGAGTGTGGGGGAGCATTTGGCAGGTGGAAGGTGAGAGAAGAGCCTTTGGGACTGAGGGGAGATTTGACCCAATGAATAGAAAAAGGGATTGGAATACTAAAACATCTTGATGTGTAAAGCCGTTCATCTGTGTCAATACCGTTTTAACACCAACTTCAAAACTCCCAAACTATTCCTTTAAAGGAGCAGCCGTTGTCAACTGCCATATACACACACACACAATGTGTTTCAAAGCACATGAAAGACTAACTCATGTTGCTAACAGAACTCAAAGGCCTGAGAGCACAGCTCAGGAAAACTGCAAAGCTTTTTTTATGGGTAATATGGTAGCAACCTTGAAATGTATGATCATATTCACACTCAGTTGGCAGTTTATTAGGTACACCTAGCTAAAACAAATGCAATCTAATATAAGAGCCCAACCAATCAAATCTTCCTCTCAAGAGGTTTTAGTTGAAACTGATTGAGAGAGGCACTGATTCAACTATATGTTCATTTTGGAGGCTGTAGTCCAAGGTTGCTGTTGAAATGTATTGTGCTACGCTGATGTTCTTCTATCAGTGAGGATGGGATACATATCATGACAATCAAGGCAAAGTTAGCTTTTCCCAGGAATAAAATGCATTGTGCCTTCAGTCTGCTGCCCTCCTGCAGCTTAGAATGCAGATCAATTTGTAAAATGAAATGTTCTAACTCCTCTTGCAGAGCTTCTGGGGAATAAATAAATAAATAAAAATAATCACTAATCAGAGGTTGGATACAATGCAGTGATATTTTTCCACCAAAAACAAATGTGACACATCAGCAGACAGACCACAACAATTACATTCTCACCCTGAAAACACTGCACATAGCCTTGTGTGCACATCACTGTAAACACTGCATAATGGTTATGCATGAACCAGCCAACAAACACACAGAGGCTGGTTTTCACAGAGTTCCCAAGCACCTAACAAATGAATCATGCATTCTAGCCAGAGATACAGTAGGAAATTAGATACAGGATCCAACTCCCATTGGATGAAGCAGTTCTTTTTTTAATTAACCTACACGTTATCTCTAAACAATGAGACAGATAAACTGAGCTGCTGGTCTGTTGCCAGAGCAGTTTTGTTTTTGTTTTTTTTACAATTCACTGTGGCGACTTTACAATACTAAAATTGTAAAAGAAGCCATTACAGTTCCTCAGTAGACTTTAGCAAAGGTTTTAATTTTTTATCCTAAACCTTATTGCCTTTTGTTTATAAGAATAATTTGCCTTCCAAGTTCTGTGTTGTCTGAGAATCGTCCTTGGCCCGACCTGGTGAAGGTTCAAATTATTTTATGCCAAGTGTACTGCACATTCAGTTTGTCTTGATAAACAGCATCAGTTATCTTGATGGTTTCCAGCTTTATCATTTAAATGCGTATATTCAGAGATATCTGAAAACACTTGGATCTAAATTATGAGCAGTAATGAATTACAGATCTACTTTATGGATCTTTCTCAACCTCAGTATTTTGCTAGCACACCACTTAAACCCTCCATCTAAAAGGATTTAGGGTACATTTGTTACCATTTACTTTGCTTTCTCAATGCTACTTTTATTAACCAATAATATTTATGTAGGACATTATATGGAAACAACTTTCTAACAACAGAGACAGGGCAGTGTTACATGAGACCAAACTATTTTTATTCCTTGTATTCCTCTGATTCTTTAAGGGTTTGATGTCAAAACTCACATGTTAAACCTCCGTCTACACCCTCACGGATGAGAAAGAGACTGAAATAACCGACGAGTTCATCTGGTAGGTCGAGCTTTGTTGCAACAGCCTGCAGAGAGAAGAAGAGAAAAAGAGAGATCGTTTTCAAGAAGATGACTTTGCTTTGTTTTGTAATTTTACCTTCAAGAGCAGTTGGTGTGCAAACTATTATAACACAAACAAACAAAACTGCAACAAACTGCATGCAGTTCAATTTTTCATCCAAAACACAGCAAATCTGTGGGCATTTCTGGAAACCAAAACAACCAAAAGCACACTCACACACACACACACAATATACAGTCAGAGAGACACTCTCATGGGTGAACAGTGGTTAAACTTACACAAGAGCACTTTAACAAACTTGATTTACTGCCAAGAGTGTCACAAGTGATCATGATGAAACCTCTCCATGTTTACTGTGGAGAGTTATCTAAGACCATGTGCATTTGTGGATTTTGTGTCTTTTCATGGGTAATAAAGATCAGAGGTGAAGTGGATATACTCAAAGGTTGAGTCACTATTTGACCTATTAAAAAACACACATGCACACTGGATGCCTTGACTTGGCTTGTCCGACATTTATCCCATCTTTATGTCAGGTGAGCCTGTCAAGCCTCAGGTTTTGCGTGGTCCCATTTTTCTATCATTTTTTATTAGGTCAAAGTAGCCCTTTATGCTTTTGGTGGAGTTAATCTATGTAAATAAATGTGACTGAATCTGATTTACATCATGTGCCATCTCCCGGGCCTACAGAAGACTCAGCAGCAATACTGCATGCCTGAAGGAAATCTCAGGTGTCAGCACTGTTATGAAGAGCAGAGATCAGATGTCCCTACTGCAGCTACGCTAACACACACTGATCATTGATAACACACGGTTACCGGACCTCAAATAATGTTAGTCTTATCAAGACTTCAGGCCTCTCACAAAGTTAATCAGCAATAAATCATAATTTCAAGCTGTAAACACAGTTTGTAATACCTCTGTATACTAAAAAGGATTATTTATTATACATACTTAATCTCAGCATCTTTCATTTTAAGTGGTGTCTCTGTAAGAACAGAAAGGATTGAAGCATTCAGCCATGTTTGGGCAGCACCCTGGATACTTGCCCATTCTTACAAATGTTTAATTTATTCCTATCATAGTGAGTTACAAATCTCTACAATTTATTTGCTAGGTGGAGTACTGGGTGAAAACATGTTTATGCTCTCTTGAACAGAGCACACTGCAGCACTTACATCAAGCACATCCTCCGTCTGATCTGAGGTCAGAATGTTGACTGTAACCTTCTGACCGTTGGAGAGGCAGATGTCTAGAGCCACGTCTTCTGTGGGAATCTGCTGTGTCTCCTGCAGGAAGGACACGAAACATAAGGAGGTGCTCCTTCAGCTTCATGGGTTGATTATCAGGTTAATTACCATCAGCTTTAGTATTTCCATCTGACTATTTTACTGCAGGCAGCTCACACAGAAATGAAAGCAGCTGTATTCATTAGTTCTTGTGCTCTGGTTCATGCCTTAACTGAACAAGGCTGACAATGGAGCAAAAATCCACAGAAATCACTGAATACCAAGTATGGAAAACTCACTGAACTGCCAAAACCTGAGAATATTTCAAAACTCTAATAGCTCCTGAGCTGATAATAAAAACAGATGAAATGTTAAACTGGGGAGCCTCTGTGCCTCCGGTCCCAAAGCAGTCTCTCGCCACCTCTGCTAAATCATCACTTATCTTCCCTGTTCCCCCAGCTGGAGATCTCCAGGTGCACCGCTGCCACTGAAGGTGCAGATGAGATGACAGCACCGGGTGGTAACTCATCTCATATTCTGTACCTGCTGCCCTAGCAGTAGGCACTGTAAGGTGCCGAGGGGGAAGTACAAGAGACATACACAGACTCTAATGAGAGAGAAGCAGCAGAATGGGGGTGACGTGACTGCAGACGGATGAACGTGTCCGTGAAGGTTACCGGATTTAAAGCAGGTCACAGCATGAATAATGACAAATCAATCCTGCTACCTGGGCTGAATAAGTCATCGACACTGTGAAAGTCTGTCAGGCAGTGACAGCACACCATGAGTTTGTGTTATTACACCTGAGAATTTGCTTGCATGTTTTTTAGTACTGCAGAAATACCCTGTTGGCAAATTTCACTGGGATGAATCATCAGGTTGCTCACTTTTCCTTTTTTAATGAAGCATTTCAAAAGGATCCAGCTACCACACCCAATGCATCTATGTTTCTATATTTGGCAAAATGTCGCTTTCCTCAGTTTCATGTCTAACATTAAGCATTTCACACATTACTGCATGCAAACCTAAACCCAATCTGACGCATCAAGGAGCTCACAAATAGAGTACATAACCCAAGGTAAAGGTTTGTGACGCCACAAACTACAACAGACAGAAAGGGAATAGCTGCTTCACTCTACCACAGTGCCAAATGTAATTATTAGTTGGGAAGAAATGACTGCAGCAGCCTTTTGGTGCCTCCTCACAGGTCTGCTTTTGAACAGAAAACTGCCAAATACAGGCAGGAGGAAAAACAAACACACACACACACACCCGCAGAACTACCAACCTGCTGTGCTTTTCTTAAGAAGCTATTGAATATCTCACTGGCACCAAGCAAGGGATCCTGACGCACTGTTAGAAAAAAAAAAAATGAACAGGAGACAAATTAGTAATACCAAAACTGCAGTAAGATTACAAAATGCAGTGCAAGTCAAGAGGAGAGATGTTTAGTTAAGGGTCTTTTTGTGAATGCAAACAAACTTCCCCAGGCAAAGCCACTTCCCAGTCTGACCTCTTATCATTCAGCTCGATGTTGTTCAGTGAAGTGGGTTTGAACTTTCAACACATTTATCTTGGCCTGCAAAATGCTGCACTTTACGAAAGAAGGTCTGTGAAAACTGACTTATTTGGGATAGGTTCAATGAACTGTCAACTATTACAGACCAGTTTCAACATAATGGAGGCTCCAGATTTGGTAAATAAAAGACAATATGAACAAACCTGTTTTGCACACACATATTTATTTTAAGCCTGTGTGACTACAATATGACTACATGCGTGAGCGTGTCAACTTGTCCACCATTGTCTTTTTACAAACTGATCCAACCCTTTAACAAAATGTGAAAGCTCTATGAGCCATCTGTGTCAGAGCAAATCAAGTTTGTGGCAGTTTATTTTCCATAACTCTGTAAAAAGCCATGATGTAACCAAGTGCAGTCACAGCCAAGAACACCCTGTGTGTGTATGCTCCCAGACTATGAGCAAATACACACTTGAACAACGCTTCCTTGTTCTGCTCTGCCAGTGCTTGAGAAGATTAAAACAAACCTTCTGCATTGCTGCCAGTTGCATTTATTCATGTCTGTATGCAGAAAGTTCACCCTTGACCTGTTTTTAAAATGTAGCCAATAGGTTGAAAACCTCAAACTGGGGTACGATACTCCAGCTAGGTTCTTGTACAAGACTTTAAACCTGTCATAAAAAAACTCCTTATGCCTCACTGATTCTATAAACACCATTAAATTATTTTTGTGACATTTAGTTTTGCCTTCAGAGAAAAGGAGCAACCCTGAGGAAGCACATCACCACTAGAAGATCTGAACCCACAAAACCTTTAAAAAGTCAGCCAGGTCTGAAATCCTGAGTAAGGGCTTTCTTCACCAGGTGTGTCAGCAAAACTCTGTCTCAGGCTCTGGCTCAGTGTCCCAGCTCACTCTGTGCTCAGGTCATAATGGCTCTACCCCCCACAGACACAAAGCCAGCTCATTCTTGTGATTGTTGTGGAGAAGGAAATATTTCACAGCACTGCAAAGTCACACTGTTTCAAAAAACAAAGTCTTAGTCTGTGCTGTCAGGGATATGTGAACTGCATTTCAAAGAAGAGTGTCTCCTTGATAACACTGACAAAACAACTGCATTGTAGCTGGAATTTAACTTTGGCATGAATAACTTACCAGCCTGCATGTATTTCTCCAGCTGTTCTCTTCTCTGTTCGACCTCAGCAGGAGTCAGTGTGAAGATCTTCTTTGGGGCACCATATTGCTGCCATATTCTTTCTTTAACTGTTGGTGCAAAACAAGTTGTGAAACAAAACAGAGAGGGTGCAGTACTGAAGGCTAAACAACCTATAGTTTTTTTCTGATTCTGACCACAAATAAAAGATGATCTGAGAAAAGTCTGGTGGTTAAATGTTTTTTAAAGTTAGATCTCAATCTGTGAAAGGAGATACACTATATGGGTTTGCATGATTATACCTATTAACTTTAGTACAGAGTGGCAGTCTCGAATTAAAGAACTGTGGATTCATTTGTAAAAGGTACATTCATACAGTTTGAGATGAATGACAGGTTTATTTTAAGCTCTGTTTTTTCTGCTAGCTGGTGGAGTTTCCATGCATAACACACACACACACACACACACACACACACCTAGAACCCGTACTGTCTAGTTTTTCCTAGTTTACTCCGTCTTCCAGCTTCTTGACTCATTTCTTCCATTTTTTTATCATTCAAAAGCTGCTAGCTTTGAACCTTAGAAGTCTTAAACCAAGATTTCACAAATCCAGGGTCATACATCAAATGTGGTTCAATTTTAACCTGTACATTTGCTGCAGGCAAAAGCTTTACATCACACTTAGGACATTTTTGCTCATTATAAAACACTCTGGTCCTGCACATACGGCATGATGAAGGCAGGGCACTAGAGGATGAGAGGTGATTTTCACCTCAATGTACTGCCCGTTTCTATTTTAAGTATGCCAGAGGCAGCAATGGTTACACATACAAATCAGCTCTCATAGCTACAGACACTGAGCACAAGGTACAAATTTATCAGTCCTCTCAATCTAAAATAAATCTGAGCTCATGCAGCTTGTTACAGATCTTTACAGAAAAGACATTTTGTCTCTGCCATATCTGAGTAGAGTTTGTGCACCCCGACCGTCACAGTGTTCTGGGGTCATGCATACACCACACAAAGCCCTTTGGGGTTGATGCTGAAAGATTCAAGTGCGTCTTCCCCACACCCTGTTGCCAGGCAACAGCAACTCTCAGACCAGATAACGCAGGCTTAAGGATGGAGACGGTGGAAGTTTGGACTGTGCTTGATTATTTATTAATGCAGACTGGGCACTTCTGTAAGAATTTTATGCTCTAGTGTACATTTCATAGTGCACACAGTTAACGGGTGCTCAGCCATACAGCAATAAGCACTAAGCTCACAATATTTTCGCCAACTGTAGAAGTTGAACACACCAACAGCCTAATAAGAGCTCTAACAAATCACTGTGGCTCTGTGTCAAGTTCCATTGAGACAAAGACAAAAAACATTTAAGGGCAGGCAAACAAACTTTTTTTCCCCCAGATCAAGCTCCTTTTCTCACCAGGTGAAGTAAAGGAAAAGCCAAGGACATTCGTTCTACGTCACCCACCCCCTCCAATCTCCTCGACAACTATTTAAATGCAACAGTTTGAACTTGAACAAAAGCACAACACATCAACCGACAGCCATGGGTATACTGTGATGGTTTACCTGTTCATGGAGCCCAAGCAGTTGACTGTAGCGTACCCGGCAGTGCAGCACGCCATTGACATGGATGTTGTAGGCCTGTGGCAAAGAGAGAGGCCAAATTAAAATGTGAGGACAAAGACTGTAAAGGTTCAAATGCTTAGCGCTGCCTAAAAAGCATGGTAACACAGGCATGAAAAATGTCAAAATAAAAGATTCAAACATATATGGATAGATTTAAAACATACAGATACTTATTTAACAATAACCTTTCTTCAACTACAAGCCCTGTGAAATTAAATGATTCTCAAGGCCTCAGTCCACAGCTTTAATTTCTTCAGAGGCATTTCCCTGGATACCAGGTTATAAGTGCAGAGCAAAAGTCAAACCACAACCGGTGAAAACACAGCAGGAAATGTCCTATACCTTTAATTTCACTACTGATTTATCTCATAGCACCTCAAAACAATTTCAGTCTCCATCTAGCTCATCTCCCTGAGTGCTTCCTCCCTCTGTGTTTTCATTAGGAGGACCAAACAAACGAAATGTGAATTGAATTCAATCAACCCCTACTGACTTCCAAAGGAGAAAACAAAGCCCCCTGCACATTTTCCAATCCAAACAGCTGCTTCTTGCATTATTCAGAAGCTAACAAATATGAAAAGCAAATCTTTTCTCTGAGAAACTTCTTGTTTGTTTTGACAGGAGCTATCACTTGAGTACTTCTCCACAAAAACCACCATCTGGAATCAGCAATTCAAATATCTGCTTGCAGTCATGTTTGGAGCCAAAATAAATCTATTTATCATGTCATCATGCCCTCATTAATTGCTGCAAATCATACTAAAACCACATTAATACTAAAGTGATACTTTAGTTACATCCTTTAGAGGAACCGGAGTGTTTACGTTTCCCCAAATACAAGCTCGCTTACAAAACAGCAACCTTGAACTGTAAAGGAATCCAGTGTTATTCCAAAGATCGTTTAGCCATGAGTCGACCCTGCCACTGTACATATTAAAACTGTAAGTCACTTTATTCTCTGTTAAATATTTAAGTGAAAATGGCTCAAAAACATAACAAAAATTGTTCCATTGCAAAATCGACTGACAAGAAATCATAGTTAAAACCTGCTAAGGGTGTGGTTACCATTGTGATCAAAGACAGTGACTACAATCAATTGTGAAAAAGGTCATTATACAACACAAAGGCTAATGATAATTTTTCAGAAAGAAATAAAAAAAAAAATCTTAAAACGGGGTGGACTAGTTGTATTAACTGACTCATGGTTAAGATCAAGCCATTTTCTTAGTGACAATTATATCAGTTTCCACCAGGCTGTGTGCAGCTCTGGCCTTTGGCGAGAGGACATGCACGTTAAAAAGGTTTCCCATGTGGGTGTCTTTAATCCCCTGCCCCTTTAGTCTCAATCAGTATTTATAGTGAACATGGTGGGTCATCTTTGTAAACACGAGGAGACTTGAAGACTCCTGACCACACTGGTGGTCAATAGCAGGTGCCATTTCTGACTTACAATGCTTATCAATAAGAAAACAACAAAAAAAAGTACAAGCCAAAATGTTCAGAGGGGGAAAAGGAAGGCTAAAGAATTAGGAGGAGGGTCAAAGAATGGACTGAAAGATGTGTATGTAGGCAATTCTCAGTCAGGAAGGAAGAAAGAGTATGCAGAAGGTCTTGGCTCTGTTCAGTGACCCCCCCACCCCCGCCAAAAAACCACAAGCAGTTCAGCTTGAGGACAGTTCAAAGGATGTATTTCATGATCTATTGCTCTGTTTGGCACACTGCTCAGCATACCAACACCATCAACGGAAAGTACTTGAATACGTTATATTTTGACCCCAGCAAACTTTTGACTTGATAATGACTGGGATCAACATGTCTAAAATGTTTACAGATCAGACTGCAATCGAAACGTAAAAAAACAAAAACAAACAAAAAAAAAAATCCTTGTGTGTCCAACACAGCTGGCCAATAAAGCAGATTCTGATTCTATAAAAATAACCGTCAACTCCAGCCTTCTTTTCACATGTGACGATATAGAATTACATGATTTTTAAGTCAGGTGACAATATGAGCACATTTTAAAAACCATCTGTCTCTAAGTTTATGCACTTCCTGTGCTTTGAAAAATTATAAACAAAAACGGGTGTCCTTGTTCATATCCAACTCCCAACCTGTTCCTCATCCAAAGTAAATGAATCACCATCACTTACAGTAGCACCACTGTCTCTCTTTTACATGCCCACAAACACTTTATAACACGTGAATCAGAGAGGAAGACTCAGTGAGTCTACTAGAAACAAGGAAGTGCGAGCACTCAAAAATCATGAATTGTCTGTGCTTGCACAGGAAGAACAGAGTATTAAAAAAAAACTGCAGCCCTTGTTATTCTAAAAAGCCCTGTGCAAACTCTGCAGATTCTGTGCCCTGCTGGTTCCAAGGTACGCAGCACATCTCTCAGCATTATAATCAAGTAAAGTCCCTTCCTGTGGGCTGGTTACAGGAAGGTCACAATGACAGTCACAGGACTGCCAACTGAGAGGTGAAAAGTCCATGCTTTCAAGTTTCCACTGCAGCATGGGCTCAGCCAGGTAGAAACAAGCCAGAGGTGGCACCCAAAGGACTCGTTTTTAGAAAGGGATCAACTTCCAGCAGCAAGAGAAGATGTTGGCAAAACAATATAAACTAAATTCCTGCACATGAAATACTACATTCACCACTTCTCCAGGGAAAGTATCAAAATTTATACCCAAAGCTAATTTCGAAAGTTTGTGCAGCAGTGACACTGAATACAGACGCATTCAAATATTAACAAGCTTATTCCAAGAATTTTCTTCCCCTCTTTGGAGCATGTGGAGTCAAGATGGAATATAGTCATTAGCAGGTGTGTGACACTGAGAGCAGCCAGTGTGATTTCAACATGTTGCAGATGCAATTTCAAAAAAATCTGGTGTGAAATTCTATAAAGCAAAAACTTAGGCAAAAACTAGAATGAACTATTTACCTAATATTCTTAATTATCCAAAATTGTTTGCAGTTGTAGTGTTAGCTCTTATATCTAAGAATTCAACTTGAACCCGAGTTGTTCCCTGGCAATGTAATCTCTTTTGTTCAGGGGATAGGATTCATTTCACAGACATTTGTACCAATGCTCTAAATTATCAAGGGAAATTCATTCTGACTTGATAACACAGACTCAGCCATAAATTAGCACAATGCATACCGACTGTGCCTGTGACTGGTGCTCAACATTTATGAGAAAAACAGTGCGAATCATGCTCTAAAGCCTTAAATGGGTTCACTCTGGCCGTCCTCGGCCAACCCACATGAATTTCACCCTGTGAACACTTCAGTGAATTTCTGCCAATGTGTGAAGACAAAACAAACACAACTGCAATTCAAAGTGCTTTTAGGCAGGGCATAAGAAACAGAAGACAGTGAAAGAAAATAAAGTTAAGCTGCGGGAGCCTGCTGACCAGCAACCAAGAATGATAACGGAGCCACAAAATTATTGCTGTTCTTGATGTGCTGTCAAGACTGCTATATTTTAAAATGTTAGGGGACTTGACAGTAAGATTAAAGCAGTGTTGGCTTACTTTTCTCTAAATAACAAGGAGGGTTGCTACATCATGGTGGCAAACCTGAAACCTCAGAAAGAACTTAAGTGCTGACTCAAACCTTTAAAACAAAAGGGACTCTGTTGCGCCTGAAGCATCACATAGTGGACCAGATGGTTTTGACAGTAGGTGGCACAAATTAACATGTTGTCAATTTAAGATTTATTGCAACATTTTGGGGCTACAGAAGCACATCCACCAGGTTAGATAAAGTTAATTATGAAAGGTTGAATCGGATGAAGGCCTGGGTTTTATTTCCTGGTAATTATTTCAATTTCCTCCCAAAACCACATTCGGTTGTAATGGAGGTCCACATCACTTTGACTCAACTTCCTCACGTTTAAATTCCGTAAATAAATTGCATTTAGCCATCTAGGTTGCATCTTTATGGAGTAAATTAACTGCACATGTAATCCAAATTGTCGTGTTGTGCTCTTACTGAGGGCAGAGATTATTTTAATCGCATTAGACGGTTGTTTACTCTATGATCGTACACTACTACTAATGTCATTTATAACAGTAAACACAAAAACTCATGCTGCTCTGACATTAGCCCGACCTGTGGCCAGCTGGAGCCAGGGTTTTAACACAGGCCAAGTGGTAGCGGGAAAACAAAAACATAAATTATCATGCTCACCACATAGGTTGATCCATTTTCTCCCGAACGAACCTCCGTTTCGGGTATGGAAAAATGCATTTTAGCCCGAAACACAGCCTGCCGCCAGCACAGCTCACGATGCAGAAGAAAGCACCAGTTTCCCCACTAAGTCCTGCAGTGACAGTCGGCGGTGACTACAGAGGAGGAGGAGGCTCTCACACGGTTCAGCCACTGCTTTGTAAATCCGGGGAAAGCGATGTCAGGCTGGGAGAGACTGCTGACGACTTTATTATCTGCACAGCAACTTATATACCAAATGGCATTCGCATAAAACTTCTCCCACGTCAGTGTTAAACTTTTCCCAATGTCGTCCCCGCAGCAGCCATGTTGCAAGTGTTAAGTAATTACACGTTCTGTGTTGACGTTAAATACCGTTTCCGCGCACTTTTAATAATTCGTGCTAACTGAAAACCACTCACTGTTTGAACTGGATTTCAGAGTGTACAGGTAATTAAATTCATTAGCATAACGTGATGAAGTTTCTGGATAAAAGGAGCAGTTGGTTCCTACAAACCCCACAACGTCGCAGAGACAAACCTTTCGAAATATGAGGGGGCAGTTGCACTTGTTGTGGTTTTGCTTGTTTTTCCTGTCTCCTATATTTGCTGAAGAAATATCTACACGACAGCGCAGAACATTCATGGATTAAACGTAAGTAGAAATAGCTGAAAAAAGCTGATTTATCACGTCCGTCACGCTATTCTGTGTTCAGCGTATCTAGTGGCCCATCAAGAGGCATTGCAACAACCCTTCTGGGCCAAACCACCGCATTATCAACCGGGGGTGGACCTCTCTATACTGGTTTAAAAAAATGAGAGAATACAAGTATTATATCTGTCAGATGTTTTACATCAACAATAAGAAGATCTTTTATTATTATAAATGTGCCACAGAATATTTTAAACTAACAACATATTTTAATCTCATACAACCGTCTAACTTAAACACCCCTATTTTGGGGTGCACCCCACACTGACAAAGTGCAGTCCGTATTCATTACAGGCAGGAAAATGTGTCTAGATTTTGTCAACAATTTTTGAAATTAAATTTGACTTATTAATTTTGCAACATACATTTACTCTTAGGTTAATATGTTTTAAATTTGAAAAGAAAAGAAAGGTCTGAGGGTTTTAAATAAAGCATTTTGAATGACTTGCGTTAAAATGAAAATAAACCAAAGGTTTTTTTTTACTTCAAAACGAAAAAAGTAACATATCATCGCATTTATGCTCTAATAAACAACTAAATGATTGATTTACGTATTAACACTGTGTTGCTTTATTCTGTTCACTACACATACCGATAATATCTCAAATTCAGTGTATGCGCAGTTACAGCGCAAAATTAGGTTGTGTTGGACCGCTTCCGGTCACATGCTCGGTACTGCGCGATCATATGATGTAAATCGACGAAAATGAAAGCTGGGAGTAGTCAACAGAATTCTGTAGTGTTTTTTGTGATTTTTAATTTATGCGTTTGCGTGAGCTGTCGATTGACTGAGCTGCAGGTAAGACTGTTTTAGTCAAATATAACAGCTGTACTCTTTACCCAAAGAATTCTAATTGATTTCATTTTATACTGACATATCGTCGAGAAACCACCGTGTTTTGGTGGATGTACAGTAGCCTTAGGTGCCGGATAAGTGCTAAATGTTGTCTTGCGTAATGACTGGTAATCACAGGTATGTAAGCTCTGCAGCGGGACTGTCGTAAATAGCACCACAGTGGGACACTTTTGCCTCTTATATGGTGGACGGATAGACGGGAGATGCTGCTTGAGAAATGACAACACAACTGAACCTGAACACATCATCGGGTAGGACTCTTATGTTGCCTTCAGGGTCAATCGGGACAATATATTTTGAATAACTGCTGGGTATCTTGTGAATCTTACACCAAGGATCAATAAATCTTATGATTATATTGTATTTTGTTTAATTAATCTCATTTAGAAAATTAACTAAAGTTATCAAATAAATGTAATGAGTTCAAAGTGCAATACAGTATTTTTCTCTAAAACGTAGTGAAATCGAATTATAGTATGAAGTAGCAGAAAATGAAAATACTCAAGTGAAGTAGATACCTCACATTTGTATTTCAGTAACGTATTTGAGTAATTGTTACTTTCCACCATCTCTGATTAATACAGTATAGAACACCAGCATACGTAGATAAATGCAAAATAAGTTATTTTGCTCTGTCATTATATTACACATGGTCCATCTTCAACCTTCATTCCTTCCAGGAGCATTTTAGGTAGGACATAGTGCTCGACTGAGCAAACTTTTTTAACCCTTTGTCATCATTTTGTGTATAAATAGACCTACCTACTCACTTCTTATTATACTAGGCTGTGAGTGTAAGTGTTGTAGCCTTTGTTCCTGTTTATTGCCAATTGCAGTGAGAATGCTACGGCAAATCTTTGTTTTGTTAATGTTTCATGATGTTTTTTGGTTTGTGTCAGGCTGGATTTGTCCAACTGTTCACTAACTCATGTGGAAGACCTTCAGGAAGCAACAACAGTGAAATGGATGTATGTACAGTTTATGGTGTTTCTTACCCCTTTACACAACATACAGCATAATGTGCAGACAAAATGATGGAAACACTGCCTCAGAGTGAACGCGTGAGGTTATCTTTTCAGGGCATAAAACAACTGTGCTCATCTCTACTGTGTGTGTTTACCCCACTTGATCAAACATGCATGTTCCATATCATAAATTGTTGCAGTCTGCTGTTGTATGCAGGTGATTCCTCAAAATGATCTTTAAGAACATTCTTGGGAAGGAAGAGTTCACGAAAGTTTCCATTTTTAATCCCAAGGAAATGTTTCCAGTTCTCCCACTGGCAAGGAGGGAGACTCTTCATTCATGTTTGTCCAAAGTATTTTACATTATAAACTTGTTTTGCAGAGACCTCTCTCTCAATCCCATTGTTAACATCAGTGACACAGCATTTCAAGGCTTTATTGAGTTAAATTACATGTAAGTATCCAGTTTGAAATAAAAAAAGAAATTAACCTATTGCAGCTGCTCGTGAGTATGTTAGTTCTGTTTCTTTGTATCTCTTTAGGATTTTGCCAGGGGACATAGTTTGTCCAGGAGGCAACACGTCTTGGGACAAGGTGGAGTTCAAAAAGGGCAATTGTGTATGTGAAGGCCAGAAAAACATGTGCAACCAGACTGGACAGCTGTGTAAGTTCTCATTTGATAATTTTCCACTGTGACACACATCATCTCAAAACAGCAGTAGTTTTGTGGTGATATGTGGCATCTATTCATCTCATAATTGACAATCCACAGCCACGAACTGCCCAGAGAACTCCCTCTGTGCCCCCTACGGCCCCGGCTTCTTTGAGTGCAACTGTGCTGACAACCACCGTGGATACAAGTGTCTTCGAGAGGTCAGTTCTTCAAGCAGCTTAATCTGAATCGTTCATGTTATTGTCTACTCTCACTGTTAAAGTTATGTATTTGTTAACGTTGTCACTAGGGGGAGTTTCCAGTTCTCCGGGTGTTTGGGCCTATTGGAGTGTCAACAGTTGTGATCTCTTTCCTGATGTGGTTCACACAGCGGCGCAAGGCCAAATCACTCTGAGGCTGAAATGCAATCGACTGGTATTTCATTTTTAGGTACTGAGCTGACACTGACTGTTCTGAATAGGGAAAATGCTGACTAAGAGTCTCGGGTGACTCAGGTTTCTTTTAAAGGACATTCTACATTAATAGTAGGGTAGCTATATTTTATTTTGGGACATTTCTAAGGCTGGCATTTTACTTTTTTTTTGCATCAATTTTGCAAATTTAGAGAAATTATACCAAGTTTTAAACCTAGTTTTGTCAAAACTGACCAGTATTAACGCTGTTTTTAAATGTAGCTGATACAAGATATTGATGATGTGTTAAACAAAATTTTGAATTAATTGTGTCAAACATACTGACTTTAAGTTTATATGATGGAACTGCATGTCCTTATGCACTTTTGAGTGAATGTGTGGAATCAAGCAAATTGTTCACTGCTTTTTGAACATGTACTCAGAGAGCAAACCAAGTCAGATTTGATTCAAAGTTTCAAGCTTAGCTGAGCTTTGTCTTTTAGTCGTTTTATTGTATTAAAAGTGGGACATTGAGTTTAATCACTCCAGCATGATTTATAGTTGTCACTTGCCGTTACCAGATCTGCCTTTTTTTTTTTTAATCTAATATCTGCTGAAATTTGTCCTTGTCATTGTATCTTATAACATCAATGTTAAATTGATGTTTCTATGCAATGAATGTCAATGTGGTATATAGTTTATGCTTTCTTATCCTGTTCAACTGATCGTCATTAAAAACTAGAAATTTTGAATAATTTATGTGAACCATAAACTTCCTCTAAGAGCCTGCTGCTCCAACTGTAATTAAGGAACCATTCATGGCTAGTTTAAAAAGGCCCACTGTGACAACTGAAGCATGCTGTGAACTACAGTGTAATTGTTCTGATCCAAATGCACCCAATTAAATGTTGTGTTGCAAAGTAACAGTTCATAACATGGCTCTATCTTGCCTCGTCCCACCAGGCTGAGAAAAAATATCTCTAATTTTCCAGTTCTTCCACAAAAACATTCATGGACTATTTAAAAAGCACATGACATTTCAGATATATATATTTATTGCATGCTAAAAGCACAATGTTTCATGTGGTGTATGAGTACTACCAGCCTCTTGGCTCAGACTGATGTCAACTGGAGGTCATTCACTGGTCCAGACTTTTTACTCGCAGTACCACGGGGACCGAGGTGCACGGAATCATTCCCAGATCTGTGATAACCAGATCCACAAAATCAGGCGGTGTCACATCATACACCAAGTTAAGCAGGCCAAGAGACTGCACTTGCTGCCAGTTCTCCAACTCGGTCTTTCCTTTACGGGTCACGATGAGGTCGTCAGGGTCATCTGGAAAGAACATACGATAAACCAGTGATTCTCACAGCTTTATCTAATGTCCGGAAGAAAAATTACTTGATAGAAACATATCTAGATATATGTACCAAATCAACAAGCTTCTATGAGATCTTCCCATACCTAGTTCATTTGACACAAAGGAATCTGTCTGCACCCGCTCACAAAACTTGTAGGTCTCACAGCACACCAACACAGGCACGTTAAAGGCTCTGGCCACCAGAGCTATCTGTGATGTCCCCACACGAGACATGACATAACCATTGGCCAGCAGCGCATGAGCACCAAGAAACACTTTTGACACCTAGAAGACAATGAGGAAACTTAATGTGCTTAGAGTTCAATCCTTTGGCTATTCCATGGGCAATATACTGCTTTAAAGTAACAATATTAATGTCATGCCCAGTCCACCATTGCTTTATGATTACTTCTGGAAGGATGTAGGACACAGCTGAGATGAGGACATAGGTGCAGCTGATGCCTCTCTGGACGAGGCGCCTCAGGGCCTCCCTGCCCTCCAGCCGAGGTCTGCTGTCCACGACGATGACGCGGAACGTCCTGCTCTTCTCCAAGGCCTCGCAGAGGATGTGGTTGACCAGTGATGAGCTGAACAGGTAGTGAGAGTTGAGATGAAAAACGAGACATTTTAATGTCAGAAGAGAACATGGAAGGAAAGTGGGAGTTTAAGCAACAAAAACGGGGAAGTGAAAGTGTTGAGTGGTTTTAAAAAAAATGAATTCCTGTCTGGATTCCTTTAGCAAGGCAAATGGGTAAGTAGTGCTTACTAACAAGGAAACACAAACCTAACAGCTGAAACTAAGCAAATGCACAGTTATGACAAATAAAAAGGTCTTTTCCTTGTACGTAAGCTTTACAAGGCTTACCATCCATAAACTAGGATGACATCTCCATTACTGATCTTCTCTATGGAGTACTCAGCAATAGCTTTAGCAGCACAAATGATCTTCTCATTAACATAACAATCGATAGAGGTCAGCAGTTTGCTCTTTGCCTAGACAGAGACAAGGAAATGCACACAGCACACATGGAGACAAAGTCAGTAAGGCTAGTGTGTCAAAAACAGCATATTATGTCAATGTTTATGTTAACTACAACACGTTTAACTTATGACTTCTGGCTAAATAAGCAAAAAAAAAAAAAGTGACAATAACCTCTTCTTCTTTGTAATGACTAGGAATGTTGGAAATCTCTTTCTTGATGTACTTGATTGTGTTACCCATACTAGCTGACAGAGGGCGACATTGATTCAAAAAGCTGAAAGACAAAAAAATTCATTTGTGTTCAACTGTAAAATTTCAAAGTTCATTTGTTTGATTTATGAATCGACAATGGAGGGGAGCAGTTAGTAATGTAACCTATACTGGATCCAGTAAAAGTCATGATGATACATGACAACAAAAATCTGAATATTTAGTACCTGATGTAAGGTTTCAGCTTGTTTACCAAGTCTCTAGATAGTTCCTCATTTGGAGGTGTAGTATAGTCCCTTATTACCTGAAAAAAAAAAACATTGCTTTTAGTTTGCCAATATGTAAAAGCACTCAGACTGAATATTCTGTGTTCTATGAGCTGTACTTGTTTGAAAGCATGCAGCAGAGCTACAGCACGAGCATTGGATCCTGCCACAATGCCCTGTGAATACTGGAGACCCAGTCGAACGATGGCAGGATGAATCACTGTGGAGGGAATGCTGGAACCGACAAAAACAATCCATGCCAATCACTAAGATTTAGGCAATTTTAAGAGATTATGACAAATTACTGGCAATATACTCAGACAATACAAACAACCTACTGTATTGCATGTCAGTTTACCTGAGCTGCTGTGTTAGAGGGGCTTTGCGACTGTACTGGTAGAGATGAGAAAACAGGCTGACTTTGCGGCCATAGTCTGACCGGAGTGGGATCTGAAAAAAAGGCAGGTCAGAGTCCAAAACTATAAGTGCTTAGTAATTCAGGGGTTAAAATTGAGATTATCAGGTTGAGACACAGCCACAGCACAGCTTAGGCAGAATCCAATAAACAGAGAAGTCAGTAAGTAAAAGTCAAATGTCCACAGGGAGAAGCAAAAGAAACAAATATGACTACTGAGGCCAATTCCTACAGAAAAACTAATCACCGAGACATGGACTTTGGCAACAAAAAAAAAAACCCTAACTTTTACTACTGTGTGCCGTTGTGCCTAAATGTTCTAGAACAAAAAAATCTGCACAGCAAACAGCTGAGTATTGTAGGTGAGCAAAGAGTACAAAAAAAAGAAACAATAAGCAAGTTCTCTGCAACCTCTCAAACAAATACAACCCAGTGATATGCCACCTCTGCCTCAATGGACCAGACATCCCTAACCTAGCTATCAATTAAAAACTGTGCTCCAACACCTCTCAATTAATGAGTGGTGTTGGAGCACAGTAACAATTACAGGTTAGCAAAAAATAAAATAAGATAGACAAAACGGCAATGGCACACATTTAAGAAAGTCAGACCTTGACCTTTGTAGCTGCATTGTACCCTGGTGTCTGAAAGAAATGTTAGGAACAATCACATGCAATTATGACTGATGGTCTCTGAGGTGGCACCATTACATCGAATCACAGTTATGAATAATACGCTGCCATTTTTGAGACTGTGCTTTAGAACTGTGGGCTATATTCTGAGAACTGTCCTTGTTGTAAATACCCCAACATTAGACAATCATGACGATTTTTAGTTTACTGAAAATGACCAATGTAAGTGGTAATGGCTCAGATCATCCTGATCACTGTAAACACCTGCAGCACACATCATACTGTAATTCTGTTACTTTCTATGTGCCATACCTTTTTCATTCAGTTCTTTTGTCCTGATAGTTTTGACAGTGTCAATGATTCTCTGTCATGGTACTGTTATTTTCCTCCCATGGTCCAGTGTCTCTGAGGACCTGAACTTTAAAGTTGTAAGACCTGTTCCAACTGTGGTTGTATTAACTGTTATGACTGTTATATGACTATGATATGTAATAGGTGCCTGATTAAATCAACCAAGATTCAGGCAATTCCCACTTAGTTTTGATCATTTCCAATAAGAGATTCCAAAGTTGCTGTAGTTCACTTATACTGTACCTATTTCTTACTTGTACTTTATCCTTTTAAGGTGGTAATAATGACTTTATAGTTAATTTTCTAAAGAAATAACAACAAAAAACACCACTCAGAAAGTGTTCAACAATTTGTGACAGAGTGTAAGCTCAAAAAAACATAAATCAGACAAAACCTTCTTCCATGATTAAAGATTTTTAAAATATAACAAAGTAGCTAACCTGTTGTCTTTCCAACTTCTTGGCCAGTTTCTTTGAAACATCTGGATTGTCTGCTTGAATGTGTTCTGGGAGCCTCTTTACCACTGAAAATACATAAACAGTGTCACTTTCTCTACTGTATATAACGTGCAACTTCAATTTATCTGAATGGCCATTGCCACTACTGTTAAGGTACCTGGCTGCATCACTGGGCAGTGCTTGGGGTTTCCCCGTGGCAGCCGGCGGGCCGGCCTCACCCTTCTTTCCTTGTTTGGATGCCCTCTCAGCCTCTTGCCGAGCCCTCCTCTCAGCTTTCAACTCAGCTTTAGTCCTAGCAGGCTTGTCTGCCGGGGCAAGCGCTTCTGAGGCAGGCACAGAAACTGGTGCAGGAACAGGCACTGCTGAAGGAGCTGAGGGAGACACATAAGACACAAGGAATAGTCAAAATTAACATCTAGCAGATGAGTTAGAAACTACTAAAATCACCTATCTAATCAAAAGTCAGCGGCTAGCAACTGATGCTCACTTCAGAGCAGCCCTTCAACAGCCCTTAGCACTGTCCAAATAATATGCACCTTTCTGTGTTACGGGTTGTGTTGGAGGCTGGGAGGTTGGAGCAGCTGAATTGAAAAGATTCTTTTCTTTCTGGTTTTCCTGTGAAGTTTTGTCATCCTTTTTCTCTTTGTTTTTCTTCTGCTGTTTCTTCTCTTTCCTCAGCCGTTGCTTCTCCTCTTTGGTCAGTTCTTTGCTTTCACTCTGTTAAGGGACAATACATTACAATTAGCCCAGATATGCAGCCTTATACGAGACTGTAAAATTTCAAGAAAATACTAACACTAACCGTTGTACGTGCAATTTCTCCGTTCTTGCCAGGTCCATCTGTAAGGCAGACTATAGACGAATATATGACTACTTTATCGGTTTACACTTCTGTTCCTTAAATTTGAAATATTAATGACGGGTAATAATGACCGATTCCGTTTATATTTAGTAATTTGTTCTTCCGTTTTGGTGATGCCGTTTGCTTGTTATTTGGAACTAAAGCTAATGTTAAACTAATTCATTTTCACGCTAACGGCACCATTCGCAACACTGGTTTGCTATCACGGTGCAATGGCACCTTAAACACACCCTTTCAATTATCCTTATAATTAAAGAATACTCAAAAAGATGATGCAATAGCGTTACAATGTCTGCCGTTAAACTATAACCAGCCTATCGCAATGGTGCCGCTGAGATGCGTGCAATGCTAACGTTAGTACAATTAGCATTTTGAACTTAACTTCGTTAGAGGAACAACTCAAAGGTCACACAACACGAATTATATGTGTAAGACATTCTGTCGCCGTGCCCACTGGAAAATAATCAAAATACATAGAAAAAGATACAAAGTCAAGTTGTTACACACTCCCAAACTTACCTGTCACTCCACTATCGGCCATATTTACGATGCTGGTCCACTTCCTCTGCTGTTGCAGAAACTACTGTCCCGAAAAATGTTTATCGCCACCTTGTGTCAAAAAAGCAGTATTGTGCTCTTAAATAAACCGCGTTTTGTACTGTGGGAACTTAATTAGCTTTCGTTTAATTGCTTATCATTATTATTTTGTTATAAACAGCTGTTAGTGATAAAAGTGTTGGCTGTATAGGTATATTAGATCATTCATTGACGACACTACTCTGCAACAGCTTTCTGGATACCAGCAGAACAACATGTTACAGTTTCACTTATATTATAATATCATGCACTCTTAAATATATCAACTAAGTTTCTATCCATATTAAATATTGCAGCTATTCATTGTCTTTTGAGATAAACATTGGCCTTCTCTAGTCTTGTTTTTAAGCACACAAAAAACCCTGCTTTATCACATAATGCACAGGCAAGTGTAGCATAGTTAAAAGAGGATCTTCTTTTTATTTATATTTGTAGGACTGGCTGACTTCCTTACTTCTCACTTTATAATGAGTGAGTATAGAAGTCCCTTTTACTAAGCACACTGATGGGGAATGGAGATAGGTGTGTCAAACCTGACCTTTGCAGCTGCATGACATTTATATGGAGACCACCAAACTGTCTTGTTGGTCTTCAGAAAATCCTGCAGTATGTTATCAACTAAAACACAGAACATC